TAAATTTGACAAACGATGTGCAAGACTGAAAACCACTACACCGCTGAAAGAAATGAAAGAAGACTAAAAGAAATGGGAAAACATCCTGTGTTCGTGAATCGGATGACTTAATGTTGTTAAGATGGCAATATTCTCCAAATTGAGCTACAGATTCAATGCAATCTCCACCAAAATTCCAACTTTTTTTTTTAAATGTGCAGAAATCGACAAGATGATCCTAAAATTCATATGGAAATGTAAGGAACTCACAATAGCCAAAACAATCTAGAAGAAGAAAAAATTTGGAGGACTTGCACTTCTCCATTTCAAAACTGACTACAAAACTACAGTAATTATGATAGTGTGGTACTGGCATAAAGATAGACATAGAGATCAATGGAATAGAAGTGAGAGTCCAGAAACAAACCCATACATCTATGATCAATTGCTTTTCAACAAGGGTGCCAGGATCCTTCACTGGGGAAAGAATATTCTTTCAACAAATAGTGCTTAGATAAATGGATATTTACATGTGAAAGAATGAAGCTGGACTCCTACTTCACACCATATATAAAAATAAACTCAAAATGTATCAACAATCTAAGAGTAAGAGCTTAAACTAGAAAACTCTTGGAAGCATAGGTTTAAATTTTCATGACTGTAGATTAGACAGAGCCTTTTTATATATAACACCAAAGCAAAAGCAACAAAAGAAAACATAAGTTAGACTTCATCTAAATTTAAAAGTTGTGCTTCAAAGGACACCACCAAAAAAGTGAAAAGACAACCCACAGAATGGGAGAGAATTTTTACAAATCATATATCTGATGAGGGACTTGTATCTAGAATAGATAAACAATTATTACAAATGAACAATAAAAAGACAAATAACCTAATTAAAAATGGGAATATATCCACAAAAGATATAAAAATTGTCAACAAGCACATGAAAGAAAGCACACCACCATTAGACATCAGGTAAATGCAAATCAAAACAAAAACATACTACTTCACACTCACTCTGAAGGCTTAAAAAAAAAAAAAGACACTAACAAGAGGATGTGGAGAAATAGGAACCCCATACTTTGGTAGTAGGAATGTAAAATTATTTCAGTCACTTTAGAAAACACTCTGGAGTTTCCTCAAAAGCTTAGACATAGTTATTACCCAGTAATCCCATTTCTAGATATGTGCCCAGAAGCCCCCAAAATTGAAAATAGGTGTTCAAACAGTGAATGTGAATGCTCATAGTAGCATTATTCACATGGCCAAAAAGTGGAGATAACCCAAATGCCCATAAATAGATGAATGGATAAAACATGGTATTAACCATACAATGGAGTAGTATTTGTTCATAAAAAAGAATGAAGTACTGATTCATGCTACAATATGACTGAAGCTTGAGAATACTATACTACAGAAGTCAGTCACAAAATGCCATATATGGTAGGATTTCATTTATATGGAATATCCAGAATAGGCAAATCCCATAGAAACAGAAAGTAGATTAGTGGTTGCTAGGTGATTGGGGAGTCGGGAAGGGGGAGTGACTTTCAATGCTCGCGGAGTTAGTTTCTTTTGAGGATGGCAGAAATGATCTAAAACTGATGATGGCAATGGTCACACAAAGTCTGTGAATATATTAAAAATGATCAAATTGTACAACCTATGTGGGTGAATTGTATGGTACATGAATTACAGCTCATAAAGAGGAAAAGCAGAAGGAAAAAAAAAAAGCATGTTAGAAAAGTTTAAAAATGCCATGCCACAGAGGCAAAATTTTTGAGAAACTTGGCCACAACTTCTAGAGTGACCATTATGTGGTTAGGGACTAGAGAAAAACATTTCTTGTAACTGTAAGCAGATAAAGTACTACTACTGGCCAGTTCTAGGACACAGTAGCCGCCTTGTTATACAAACCCACCCCCAACCCAAACCAACTTTCATTGGATTTCTTTCCCTTTGAGTTTTGATAGCTGAAGTTGTGTTGTGTTCTCACGACTAAGACTAAAAGTAGCCCAACATTTTGTGGGTCAAGTCCTGAAAATAATATTTGGAAGACTTTGGAATTTCCTATTATTCTAATCCATTGATCATATTCTTCATCTCAGATAAAACTAATTTATATTACACTATGCCATTACAAGGGATCTCAAGTTGCAATCACTGTCTAAAAGCTTGGGTTATTATTATGACCTATTTAGTTTATCAATGAACCCATAAGACACTGCTTGTTTTATGATGGTGTGTTGGCACAGGTTCTAAAGCTACTGCTAACACTGCTGCTTTCTATTTCATTTTTAAAAGATGCTTACAACACTTATATATGTAGCCAAATCATGTAACAGTGGTAGACCTGATGCCACAGAACTGGTGACTGGTTACTGGAAATTTGCATCAAATGACTTACTTTCTCTATGGATTATCATTCTACTGATAAACTAACATTACCAATTGTGACTTATTTCATAATATGTTCAAGGGCTATCAAAACAATAGTTTTGAAGGAAAAATGGGACTCAAGTTTAATGACAAAACATCCAGTAGAGCAGAAAAGTATTCTGTGATGTGAGTTCATCTGTGGAAGTCAAATAACTTCCTGGAATCACTAAACTATATAAATGGTAATACCTAACATGAATGTTTAGGAACACATTCATTCACCTGGTTCTCTCCAGTCCAGCTCCCCCTATTCTCCAGAGCTTGTTGCCCTTAAAGCTGGCAAAAATAAATCTAGTGAAATTGTCTGTCATGGAGAATTCAATGGCCACAGGAAACAAATTATCTCGACTTTTCCTTTTTTCTCCTTCGCCATTCAGTGAGTCCTGTCCAGTCTTCCTGCATAGTGTCTCTTGTACTTGTCTTTTCTTCTCCATTCCTGTCCATATCACTCAATTCTAGGGTTTTACAGACTCATAACTGGATAACTGCAATTGCTGTCTAATTGGTTTCCATTTCCATCTCTCTCTGCCCCAGATGCAACTGGCAGCAATCTAAGAGATTAAATATTTAATCAAGTAATCTGTTTAAAAACCTTGACTGGCTCCCCCATGCCTATTGAACAAAGTCCAAACACTATTTGCCCAACACTCAAGGCCTTCCAAAGTCTGCTCCAAACTCTCCTTTTTTAGATTTATCATCTACTGCTTCTGTGAATAAAACTGGTCTTCTCACCATCCCCTGAACTTCTGCTAATTCTTTCTGCACCTTTGCTAATGGTGTTCTTTTTGCACAGAATACCATTCATCTTCAACAGCCTGGTTTACGGCTTGTTCCCTCCCCCCCATATCCCCTCCCAGAACATGACAATTCACAGTGATTTCTCCTTCTTTCCTCCAATGTGGTAAGAATCATTGACAGTGTCATTCATTTGGTAATACTCATATACAACTCTCCAAGTCTCATATATGAACTCTTATTATTTAATTGTATGGATATCTTGTTTCTTCAACTAGATTTCAAACTCCTTGAGGGCAGGGGTCATTTATTATACTTTCCAAAACTTACCCATAGTGCATAGCACAATGCTGGAGGAAGTGACAGTTGCTCCTTGTTGACAAGAGCACTGGAGTTTTCCCAGGATGCCTCTCTCTCAGATGGCAGCACTCACTCTAGGAGATGTTTCCTTTCACATACATGTCAAATCATTTTAAAGAAGAAACTAACTTTATAGGTTACTCTCAGATATGGAAGAATTACAAACTGCTTCTGAAATACTTCTCAATACCTTGTTAAGATACAAAATTGATTTCTCTTCCCCTGAAAGCTTAAAAAGGACATGCAAAGAAAAATGATCAAGTGAGGAGCATCATGTTTAACATTTACTTGATCACAAAGTATTCAAAAAGCCAAGGATCCACGGAATCCTTTTATAGTTCACTGCCACAGTTTTTTTTTTTTTTTTCATCAGCAAAAGAGGCTAAACTACATAATGAAAATAGTCCAGAACTGAACGTTTACATGAAGGCAGGTAAAAGTATATGGATAATTCAAGCTAAAAACAAGTTCCCCACATCTGGGTTTCTCTTGAATTATTTCGGTAAATTGAGGTTTCTTCAGAAATAGAAATGTAACCCCTAGTTAGTAGGTGTGAAATCTTTTAGGGTGGTTACATATACTCTCCCATGGCTTGCAACCATCACGACCTATCAAAATGCTTGTTAATGCTGTAAGTGAGGAAAAGAAGCCTTATACAACGTCCACCTTGGATCCTGCTGTTAAGCTGTGTGGTTGGATAGGATATACTCACAGCAAATTCTCAGAAATGTTTTGTTTAGCTTTATGGATCACCCCAGACAGATAATCAAGCTTTGGCAACAAACACGGCTTGCTAGGGGAAACCTATGCCACATATGAATCTCTCATTTCTCTATGTGGAAGGCAGACCAACTAAATTACCCAGTATCATCAGATCAAAACTTCAAGGAATAATAAGCTTGGTATTTCTTTGTATATCGTTTCCTTTTGAAACGTTCCTAGTTAATGAATGCTTTTGGTTCCTTTAGTCAATCCTTGACTAATAATAGGCAAAGATCCAAATTATCCTGCTGCCATTTGAGATATCCATGTTTTATGGAAATGCTATCAATATTTGTCCTCAAAAGATTAGTCTGATAATGAATTAAGCTTCTTTTTAATAAAAATGCTAAGTCCAAAGTATTATTTCCTCCACTTCTAATTACAAATAAGTTTTACCTTTTATTGTGTTCCATTATACAATTTTACATAGTACCATTATTTTAAGCAATAATTAAGCAAACTGAATTAATGTCTTTGAGCTCTACTTTTTCAGTATATAGGTTTACCTTAAAAAGTACAAACCAAGCACAGTGGTGCAATATTCCAGGCACTTTCAAGTTGGTTAAATATTTACAAATATGTAAGCACCCTGTTTGAAAGCATGACAATTTTGGTGTGTGGAGGGAACACTCCATGTATATCGGATCTTTAAATTTTAACATTTGCACAGCTCCAAATATTCCTGAGAAAGGTCAGTCTCGTCACTTTCCATCTACATGTCCTCATACTTCAGCAGCATATCGCGGGGAACCATACCCTCTGTCACTTGATGTTCCACTAATTGCACAAAATACATGTAATGTGTTGCTCATCCAGGGAGAATGCATTGTGTCTTCTTGTAGTATCTAAAACAAAAGAAATCAGCATGTTTTTCATGAAGCAAGATATGCACTGCCAAAAAAGAATGTGTATATGAAAACACAGGCAGGTTTCAATTTATCACTGACACTTAGTTATTTAAAATGACATAAAGCAGAAAGAGCAAAGAATAACATTACCGACTTAAGTCTTCACAGCTGTATTACAAAGGCAGCATATCAAAAAAGCAGAAAAGAACTGGTTACTTATTAAGAAAATAAAAAGTATTCAAACTGTAAAAATCAAATAAAAAGGGAGAGGTAATGCAATCTTTAAAATGCTTTAACAGATAGTCTTAATAAGAGCTCTAAACAGTGGATTCTTTGACATGATTTCTGGATCCTCTTCTAACACAGTGTTATAGATTGAATTGTGTCCCCCAAAATAGGTGCTGTAAATCCTAACCTCTACGACCATGGTTATAATCCCAATTGGGAATGGGGTCTGTCTTTGTTATGTTAATGAGGCAGAATTATGATAGGTGGGTCTCGAGTTAATCTCTTTTCAGATATAAAACAGATTAAACACCACAGCAGAGATGGGGGAAGACACATGTCAAGCCACGTGAAGATCTCCCAGGAGCAGAAGCTCAGAGGAGACAAGGACCTTCGTCCAGACCCAACAGGGACAGAAAGCCTTCTCCTAGAGTTGCCACCCAGATTTCGAACTTCTAGCTTCCTATATTGTATGAAAATAAATGCGTTTGTTAAAGCCAGCCACTTGTGGTATTTCTATTATAGCAACACTAGATAACTAAGACATACAGCATTTCTCAGAATTACCTGTGGGGCTTTTCAAACACGCAGATACCCTGTAACCCTTTCCTGGAAACTTGGAAATAGTATTAAATGAAGATGAAAGTCTTAAGTGCATGTTTTAAGACACACTATAATTACGTAAGGTAATAAATACAAAAGATTTTTCTTGGAAATGGAGAATTTCATGAATAAATTTTATAGTCTCATAAGCACATAGACACACATCTATTCTTATTACTATAAATATTGAAAAAAAATTTCCATTATAGTGTGATCAAAAGCAAAAGTAACAGATCTTACACTTGGTTTAGATAGAGGAAAACAATAGAGTACGCATTGTAATTGATATATATTTACTATAAAGTCTCGGCTCAGTTCTCAAGTTTTCAATATTTGATTCTCAAGCTAGCTCTGCAACTTCTATAGTAATCCTGAAAGCTGGTCTATGGTGGCTATCCCGAGCCAAATCATAAGGCTTAAATGAAAACCTTGATAGATAAAATTCCTCTTACAAAAATCATTAACTCATGACATTGATTTGAAAGCATAACAAAGGTTTAAGAGATGATTGATTGATTGATTATCATAGGGGCACTGGTGGTGCAATGGTTAAGTGCTAGGCTGATAACTGAAAGGTCAGTGGTTTAAACCCACTATCTGCTCCATGGGAGAAAGATGTGGCAAACTGCTCCCATAGAGATTACAGTGTAGGAAACCCTATGGGGTCAGTTCTACTGCCAGAAAGAGCTGCTGTGAGTTGGAACTGACTTGATACCACACAACAACAACAACTGATTATCCACACCCATTAGATGTGACAAAGAATGGGATATGCAGTCTTAAGAAATTATGAAACATACCAAACAAGCACTATAAAGGCCACCATCAACCCTATCTAATTAAGAAATCTGCCACTAAATAGCTTTAAAATAATATAAATCCCTTTAAAAAGAAGTTAAAAGGTTTAACAAGTTCTGAAAAGGACTATTTACTTTGGTATATTATAACAGATTACATTTAAAAGGGCCAAGGAACGTCCAGGCTGTATCTTTTGATCAAGTAATCATTTATGGAGCCTAACAGACTATTTTGTATTTTAGTACACATTTATACATTGTCTTCTTTTGAGCTATTATACAGAAAGCTTTCATAAATATAATACATTAGAAAGGAAGAGAATTCTTGGTTAGCTTTTAATATAGAATAAGATAAAAACAAACAAGCAAAAACAAATCCATTGCTGTTGAGTCGAATGTGACTCATAGCAACTCATTAGGACATAGTAGAACTGCCCCATTGGGTTTCCAAGACTGTAATCTTTACAGAAGCAGACTGCCACATCTTCCTCCCATTGAGTGGCTGGTGGGTTCAAACCATCAGTCTTTCGGTTAGCAGCCAAGCGCCTAACCACTGTGCCACCAGGGCTCCCTGAGTATAGAGTAGCGAGGGTCTACTAGTCTCCACAACTGAATAAAATAGCCATGGTTTATGGGAATTAAGTGATAATAGACAGGGGATACAACAGCAGATTAAAAACTGAGCTCCAAGGGAAAAAAAAAAATTAAGTATCTTGATCACAGTTAAAACAGCACATCGAATAATTTGCTTTCAATTTGAATGATTTAAATTTCGAGTTTAGGTCATGCAGCTGCATGCAAATTAAATAACTAAAATACAGTACACACTGGCTTAAAACAACATGTGCAATTAATTGTTTCATATCTTTTGTGTAGGAGTTTTTGCCTTTTTTTTTTTTCCTCCTGTGCATCGCAAGGAACAGAAACCCATGAATTGGACAGTTTCTAGGAACAAACTATGTAGTCCATTTGATAAAAGTATATCTTACGACGATGATGTTGCAGAGAGGCATATCCCCTCCCCTTGCACTCATGAGTCTAGCCTGAGATACAGACACTAAAGGAAGTGGAATGGGTCTCTACCTTCCCAGTTCCGATTATCTAGCTGCTTTGGGAAGGAGGAAAAAAGGACCGTTGAAACCCTAGAACTGTCTTTAGTCACTCCTAAGCAAACTAATAGAAGTAAATTAAAGATGGGCAAAGGGAGACACAGAACACTTATTCCAGACTGCAGCTAACAAGAATCCCACATTCCTAGCCACTGAGAATGGGTGAGTAGGGAACTAGGGTAACTTGTCTCATTAAACAGATGGAAAGACAAAAGTTCAGCTGACTGGATTTTTCATACTGAGATGACAGTGGTTGGAAAATTAAGACTCCTGGTCACTCAATGCAACTGTAGGTTAATTGTAATGAAATTTTCCACAGCTCTAAGAGAAAGCACATAAAATCATTTTGTGATGCAGCGAGCTTTTCCAGAAGCTTCCTCCTCCTCTGTTCCCCACTGTTACGTTGCCGTTCTCCGGACACTAACCACTGTCAGCCTACATGGAAACACACCCTTTGCATGAAAATCTCGCACAGGAGAATGCCTTCAATTATCACTGAATTGCAGACACCAGGGATGACTCAGGCTCTTTTTTCCGGAACCAGCTTCAAGAATCTGTTTTCTAATGTAGTTATCCTTGTATCTTTTTTAAAAAGTCTTTAAATTCTTCAAAGTCAAAGAGTTTGAAGGGTTTCTGAAGCAAATGTTAATCTTATTGGGTGTTTTCATCTTAGTAGGCAAATGAAAAACACTTTTAATAAGCTTAAGAGGTTCAGTCACTGAGGGACCATCATGCTGTGACTTCTACAAACATGTTGAAGATGTAAAAAAGAAAAGTTTTAATTACTTAATTATGACATAATTTGGCTGTTAAGTGATGAGCAGGTATTGGCTTCTGCATTTCTTAGGTTCAGTTTTGCTAAGTTAGTGGTCATTATTATTACTATTCAGCCACAGACGAAAATGCTAAGAAGTTCTGTGAAAAGAGAGCTTTGTAGGCTGTATAGATAAGAAAACAATCTCTTATATTTGGAAATCACCCGGGATCCCACCTAAATGACAGTATCTAATTCCTTACAGTCAAGATAGGATATTCATTTCGGGACACAGCTCTTGAGCCAATCACACATCACTTCTTTGGGACCCTTCTTTTGAGACTCTTATCCATGTTCATAGCAGATCAATTCAGACTTGCTCTGTTAGTCCTTTCTAATGACATTGTGGCACAAAGAACAGGGTAGTTTATTATTGATAATTGTTCCAGTAATTGCTTCAGATAATTGCTTCAAATTCAATTCGCATTATATCATTTCAATGATTGAGGGTCATATGAACAAATTTTTAAATACAGACTGAGCAATTTTAAGGCCATGAATTTCAAATCACAGTGAAAGCCGGAACCTGTGTAAGGTGGAAACCTGTCAGAGAAGGAAAACTCAAATATTTTCCACTCATACAGAGCGACAGAAAAGTGGCAAGACTGTACCCCTCTGGCAAAAGGGGAAAACTTACAAGATCCAGAAAAACAAGGCTGCTCTATTCAGTTCCAGCCTGCACGGGTTTCACCATAATAAATTCTGCTAAGTAATGCTTTAGGGACACCCACATCATGTTCTCATTTTCAACTACCCTAATACTTGCCTGCTCATGGATTATGTCAGATAATTCTTTCACCATGTCTCTGAAATTTGACTTTAGCCCTTCATGGTACTCAATTTGATCTTCTTTAATTAGCCGTTCATTTAGTTCAAGTGCAATGCTGCAGGCTTGTATAAATTTCCTGTTGATGAACATCAGAGATAAAGGATTTGTTTTTGACCATCAATTTGATACTCACTTTAACCACAGCTTACCTAAAAGGAAGATTACAATTCTATTTGTTCTCACAGTGCCTTTACTGAGGCCATTTCGTAAGTCTGAAACACCTTTTCCTTTATTTTCCATCTCTGCCCTTTGGTTCCTCACCTCCTTCAAAAACTAGCTCAAAACACACAGCCTCTAGGAAGCCTTTTAACTTGGTATTTGTTGTTGTTGTTGTTACGTGCCGTCGAGTCGGCCCCGACTCATAGCGACCCCTCTTTGGGTTTCCGAGGCAGTATCACTACGGAAGTAGGATTGCCCAACCTTCCTTCCGAGGAGTGGCTGGTGGGTTTGAACCGCCAGCCTTCTGGTTAGCAGTCAAGTGCTTTAGCCACTACGCTACCAGAGCTCCTAACTTGGTATTACATCAGCTAAATTTGTGTTATATTAATTTGCACCTGTAGAAAATGAGCTATTCATTCCAAAATAATTTGTTTTGGGTTTACTATGTACCAAGTAAGGGAGCTCTGGTGGTGCAGTGTCTAAGGCATTTGACTGCTAACCAGAAGGCTGGTGGTTCAAACCCTTCCAGCCGCTCCATGGAGGAAAGATGAGGCAGTCCACTTCCTAAAGATTTACAGCCTTGGAAAGCCAAGGAGGGTTGCCATGAGGTGGAATCAACTTGGTGGCAGCAAGTTTGGTTTGGATGTACACAGTAGGCGTATCTTGGGGAGCGCAACTTGTTAAGCGCTCAACTACTAGCAAAAAGGTTGGCAGTCTGAACTCACCCAGAGGTGCCTTGGAAGACAAGCCTGGAAATCTGCTTGGTCACAGCCTCGGAAACCCTATGGATCAGTCTTACTTTGTACATGTTGGATTTTCATGATCTGGAATTGACCCGACAGTAACTTACAACAACAACATGTACTCAGAAGAGTGATGGGTGCTATAGGTGTTGAGTATCTGCCCTGGGCTTGTAAGAATGGGGGCAGCAAGAAATAGATGATCCACGATAAAAGTATTTTTCCATCATTTCATATGTTTATGTTTAAAGTTCACAATTAAGAGTATAGGTCTTAGGAGACAAAGTACTTCATTGCCCATTTGTTTTATATCCATCATAGACTCTTTTGCAAATGCGCGGCCTTAATAGATATTGGTGAATAAATGCCTACTGGTTACCCTGCAACCTGAACAGCTGCTAACATGCACACGGGTAAAGTAAATGAAGTGAGTTGGGAAAAAATGAGTGGATAGGTTAGCATATTTTTTCTTAGTCTGTTTTACCCAAATCTCTCTTCTCCTTCTGAATGTAAACTATTTCTATGTATTAAAAAAAAATCTGTCTACTGCAAGAACGTTCAGACATGCCTTAGCTCCCAGGGATGCTCCCTGAAGATAATACATGCCCTAGACTGGTAGTCCCCAAGCAGAAGTAAAGACACAATATAGGAGCAAGCCTATGCAACCCTTCCAGCCTCACTTTTATTTCTACTCTAAGTAGACTGAAATGCCATGACACAAGGTCAGCTGGGCAATGAGGGAAGTCAATGAATGTAGGCTTGTGTCTGTGTCATTTAAAATATCAAAGCAATAAACTAATAAGTTGGCATATTCAATCTCTTAGGTCACTTGTTGTTAGGCATCATCAAGTAGGTTCTGAGTCACAGCGACCCTGTGTAAAACAGAACGAAACGATGCCTAGTCCTGTGCCACTTTCACAATCAGGCATTGTTAACATCCTGAAGCATGAAAGAGATCACACATTTGCTCGCTACCTGAAGTACCAATAGGTGGTCATGGAAATATGTAAAGGAGAACAAAGTCTTCTAAGGATGTCTTTTTTAAAAGGGATATTATTTTGGCAGGTGGCAGTGGTGGTTCAGTGGTGGCTGCTCTCTATGTGGGAGACCCAGGTTCCATTTCCAGCCAACACACCTCAAGTGCAGCCAGCACTCACCTGCCAGTAGAGGCATGCATGTTGCCAGGATGCTAACTAAGCTTCAGCAGAACTCCTAGACTCAGGTGGATTAAGAAGAAAGGCCTAGAGACCTACGTCTAAAAATAAGCCAATGGAAACCCTAGTGATCACAACAACTCAATCCTGTTATGTAAGGGGTTGTTATGATTCAAGGGCCAACTTGAT